GTATGCAAGCATTTCCTGCATGTACTTCTGGCAAATTCAAAAAATTGTCAGCAAAATATTTGTGACTAATTGCCAACTACCACACTCATTTTTTTTTTGTTTGTTTTTTTACCTGGCATCACAACGACTTGGCTTAGTTAGCACTGTTGCCTCACAGCAAGAAGGTCCTGGGTCCAATCCCCGGTTTGAACCTGGGGTCTTTTGGTGAGGAGTTTACATGTTCTCCTTGTGTATGTGTATATTTTCTCCAGGTACTCCGGTTTCTTCCCACAGTGGAAAACGTGTAAGTTTAGGATGCCTTCAGGCCCAGGCCTCCCTTGCAAAAGAGATCTGTGATCTCAGTGGGCTTTGTCTGGTTAAATAAAGTTTCCTTTTACCTGTGGAAACAGCTGAAGTAACTGCCAGTAGGTCGACTGTTATCCTTACTGGCAATATTTGTTCGTCTACACAGACTATAGCTAGCCTAATATAGGTCATTCATGATTCAAGCTTCCAAGTAACTGGTCTCTCTCGTAAACGAGTCATTGAGGCTCAGTGGGAACGAACCTATATAAATAAAGGTTGAATGAATTAACTAAGTTTTTTTTTTTTTTGGCATATTCAGTTGTTAGTTATCCTACTTTATCATGCTGAGACCCCTGGTCTTGTCTGCACAGAGACAGACTAATTCCTGAGTCTGTACAGATGAGATGGGCCCAGCTGCTCTGAGTGAGCTTCCCAGGGTCCACACTCAATAAGGAGTCTTTTTTTATTTTATTTTGCTGGCTTCCATCACGTAGCTAGATTTGCACTTTCACCCATTTTTCACCCTCAGAAACAGACAGATAAGACCAATGATGTCACACATAGTCCACTGATACACTCTGATAGGCTGTGCTCCCAGATGTGAAGGCGGAGCCAAGGGCCATTATAAGCTGGGGCATTCTGTGACACAGGGCTTCCATTTTCGCTTCCGGGTTAAGACGAGTTGGATGGACGCCTCAGCGCTGAACCTGTAACTTTTTCCTTAATGAACATTAAATTTGTAAACAGAAATTATATCTCTTGATTTATTTGAGTTAGAGCGAGTTTCCTCTCCATCTGGGAATAAGAGAACCTGACGTCGGAGGTGGTGTGTCGGACCGGTTTCAGGGACAGACCCGGTTTGGATTCTCACACAGTTGAGTACTTGGTTTCCGCTCAGCATGGCACTTTCAAAATTGCATATCAAAATGTCATGAAAGCTATTGGAGTAAACTCTTTCAAACTGCACCATTGGATACAGTTCAACATAAATTTTTAATGCTTGATTTCATACTTTCATACGAGTACCTTTACAAACAAACGCTAAAGATGGATAAATATCTATATAATATTTCTGTTAAAACATATGTTAAACTCTGAGCTATCTGTAACGAGCTATAAGCACAGTTTTATGATAAAAAACTAACATCAACTGCCACATACTACTGCTGCTGAAGTGAGCATTAATTGTTCCATTTAACAGTCATTCCTCCTGTGTAAAAGTCTGTTACCCTTTCAGCTTTAGTTTCTCCTATTAATCCCTTAACCCAACCACCTCACACATTCCTTTGGGCAAACTGCCAAACCTGCTCTGTTTCATCTTTCAAAATGGCAGAAAGGGCAGCGAAACAGAGCGTGCTACGACTCTTTAAACAACAAAGACCACCGTAATGTGGTTTGTCTATTAACCAAGATAGACCCTGATTCTCAGCCTGTTTGTGAGCGAGACGGGAAGAAAGGAAGAGAATGAAAGCGGTAAATTGAGAGGAGTCAGTCCACCCCCACTGATCTCGCTGAGCAGACTTGTGATAAGGTTTATCTCCGGTGCCTAACGAGTTCGCCCTGTAGCCCTCTGTAGCACCCACTGAGAGGACCGGGGTGCACCGAGCTGCACACATCCAGCAGTGGACTGAGCTCCCTCAGGTGACCTGTGCATGTTGTTCATGCTTTGCTGCTGTAAAACTTTATTTTTGACGGAAATGGTTTTGGCCCCTTTGGCCACATCTCTTTTAATCTGGGATTTCTTTTATGCCTCCGTTTCTTCATCCGTTCTACTCACTGTAACTCAGGCAGCCAAGAGGAGCTGCGAGAGCTGAAGAAAGAGCTGTGGAGCTTTGGCACAGGGAGGCGTGTGCGTCTCAGAGGCAGTGGCTAAGGCAAAGATGGAGACACAGAGAGGGAAAGGAGGGACTGCAGCTGAGTTAAGCCCCTAATCACAGTCTGCTCTGCATGAAGGACTTAAAGTCACTCCATTTAATTCTACCTTCTCTTTCATCAAAAAAACGGGAAAGAAATGCTGCATACCTCCTCAGTTTTATGATAACTAGACCTTGTTTTTTTTATTACCACACCATTCTGTAGATGTGCAAAAAAAAGTGCCATTCCACAAACTAACACTGACATAAATATGGCGAATCACGTATGTTGCACGTCACAGAGCCACAAGACTGGAAACGCAATCCCCGCACAAGCTCTGAAAGCAAACATGCACGCACGGTGTCATTATTTGCACAAAAAAAAAAAAAAAGGTACACAAATCAATATCTGGTCAACCGTAGTTGTGACTGACATGACTGTTATGCCCTTCAGTGGTGCGCTCAGGTGCTTCATTTATTTGTGAGTGAAGCAGAGAATATACGAAGATGCTCACAGACCACAGGGTCCCTCTGGCTCAAAAGATATTAATTGACTTGGCTCAGCTTCTAGTCACATGGATTTTGCAGAAGGGTTCAGAATCTTGTCAAACTCTTGTGGGAAAACCCCGTATATTTTTGTCAAAGCTAGACTTTTGGGACTTCCAGCTGTTTCACATTTCTCGCTTGTCCATATGGCTAGCAGGCTACGGGTTGGTGCATAGATTTGATTTTTAATGCTGGAACATTGATTAATGCTTAGGTGTTCCTCTACCATTAGGGTAATTACATGATCACTTTATAGCATTCTACCCTGATGGACATGGTAATTTGACCACCCTACCACCCAGCTTGCTCAGTAGAGCCATAACAACATAGCTATAGAAAATGTGGTTAGAATTATCATCTTTCAGCCCCTGAAAATTGATTTCAAACCATTCCCATCGACTCCTAAAACCCTGTAAGTCTATCCCTCACTTGTGCTGACCGTTTAAAATATCGGAAGCTTCTAGCTCTTAACAGCTTGTATCGATCCAAATTCTTCAGGCAGCAACTTGAAGAGCTCCACTCATGTCACCTTGTTACTCCAATAGTCTATGTATTTTTGAGCGACATCATCACAAATAAAGTGCATTTTTATATTCTAAGGTCAAAGCTTGTAGGGTTTAAATGTATTCAGAAGTGACACATTATCAACTCTTATAACACAATTTTCTACTATCAGCAAAATTCTGCCATGACTGTCTAAAGGGCATTAATGCTATTAAAAATCAAACTGTTTCATTTGACTAATTTAAAGTGATTTAAATAAATTCAATGAATCAGTGTTTAGGTTGGAAATACTTAAAACATTGAATTATTGGCAGCTAAACTATAATTAGCATACTTGTGTAAAAATGGTGATTTGAGCACTTAAAAGCAGCAGGTAAAACATAATTAGGTGTATTATTTATGACTGTTATAGCATCACTGTTTCATGCAAAAATAAAGCATTAACAGCAAAAGTCTCATTAAATGTTATTTTCATTTATTCTTTTTTTAATGTATCCAGCTTCCAAAATATCTAATTTCGTTTAATACGGGTATATCATGTGTTGTTATACAAGGATCATAAAAGCATGGGTAAAAATAACAGAAACTGGCCCAACACATGACATTTACATGGGCTACATTGAACAATAAATAAAGATTACAGTGGTCCCTCGCTACTTCGTGGTTCGTTTTTCACAGACTCCCTCTATCACGTTTTTTCAAAATGGGATTAGATATGACACACAATTGGCTGACTGATGGATGAGCCGCGTGATCAACAGGGAATTTTTTATTTAAAATTAATTATTTAAAATTATTTAGCACCTGCTGCACCTTTGTGCAGCCCACACTGCAGGAGAAACATTCTCCTGCAGCTCCTCCTCCCTCCTCTGTGACCTCCGTTTTGATGTAGAGAAGTGGGCGTGGCCGACCGTGGCAGAACGGAGGCAGAGAGCTGAAATCATGACATTCTGTGCTCTTTTAGATCTTTTAGTTTAGAAACATTGTTTAGAATATTGCATGAGTGTGGGAAGCGTTTAAAACATATATACATATACATATATGTATGTATATACTACTTACTACTTGTACTACTATTCCTACTTCATGGTTTTTCACTTATTGTGGGGTTTCAGGGTATGGATACCAAGTGATAAATGAGGGACTACTGTACTATATAAATATATGGCACACTTTGCAACCAATACATTTAAATGTTACCAAAAAAAATCAATGTCTTAAATCTGCCAAGTCTTGTGTGAAAGGTGAAAAATGGCACATGAGATGTTTAAAGAGCTCCAGGCTGACCTTGAGTGGTGGTTTCATCCTGTAAGCTACCATGCACAAAGAACACAGTAGGGTTCCATGGACCAAAGCCAAGAAGTACACCATTATCAGAAAGGCAAAAAAAACAAGACTGGTGTTTGCAAAGCCTTTCAAAGGTGAAAAATAGTACCTTTTGGAAAATGCTCCAGAAAGAAACCAAAGTGGATTTTTTTTTAGGACTACAATGCATCATTTTGTTCAACAAAAGAACATTTTATTAAAGTTTAAATAAATAATAAATACATTTCTAATGGATAAATAGCTTCAATAAGGATAACGAGAGAACAATTTTATGGTATTTAGAGTAAAATCAGTTGTCCGGGGTAAGGTGACTTGGACAAGGAATCCTGTGATGGATATGAAAAGATAAAGATGAGGTTAAGTTCTACCTCTTACCTGCTTAATTTTGAACTCTGAGTCCTCCATGATCCCTGGGTCTTGTGACATGTAGCTACAAACTTTATTCTGTAAAATCAGTTCAAGTTTCCGTGATGATGGCATCGTTACCTTTCTCTCCAGAGACTTTGTGGCAAAAACAGGCATGTGACAGGCAAGCAGCGGACACCAGAACGGAGCCCTGTTTTTCCCGTCATCTTCCCCCCACAACCAGCCAGCGGAATTCTCCTCTCCTGAAATAAAAAGAAAAGTTTTTTTTAGTCATTCTAACTAGTCACATTCACTTACAGATTAGTCTACTCACTTGTTTTACCAACTGTATGTACCTTATCCTTACAACACTAAAACGTTCAAAAGCCGCATCAAACAAAACACAATATTTAGACACAATATGATTTGTATTGTGAGTCTGTGAATATGATCAGATAGAGGCTGATTCCTAGTTATAAGAGGCACAGTCAGGCCCTGTAAATACTCAGTAGTGGTTAAGCCTACACTTAATCAACGGTAAAATAGATTTGAGCTATAGGACGTAAATATTTGATGGTGCATCAGATTTAAAGGTTCACCTTTATGGTATCTGACAAAGTTGTCAATGAATTCTCAGAGTGTAATTGGAACAGTCCACTCTAATTTGTAGAAAATTATTAGTGCATAAATGTAAAACATCACAGTTTGCTTCTTAGCATATAGTGCATGGTTAGTGAAAACTTTCAGTAAGGTGCAATGATAGTGCACACTTTCCATGGTTAGCAGAAAACATAGCACACCACTTTGAAACCGTACAAAGATTTGAAAGGTTCCTCTAATTCAAAGTTCAATGGGCCAGTTTTGAAAAATGCTTTCTCCAGATTTAGTAAGAGCTAAACTGTTTCACAGCACAAAATGTACTGGTTTCAAAGTAAAGCCTTAAAAAAAATCTACAAATACTGCATTATCCCCACACATGAACAAAGATGATTAGGCTGCCATTGATCAAATGTTTGCTGTGCACATTTTAATATACATGTGCATTGCTGCATGAGAAATTTACATTAGTAACATTGTTTTAAAAAATAGGTCTGAGGTGGCAACAGAAAGTGCCTAATTATTGCCTAGTTATTATAGAAATATTAACATAATTATTGCCCATTGTTAATCTCATCATTTACTTGACAATTTTCAATGACAATTTGAACATCTGTTGTATTTATATACACATTTAAAACAACTCAGGGTTGACCAAAGTGCTCAACAGTCAAACCAGGTAAGAATGTAACATAAAAAACATGCAATCAAATCAAAATATAATAAAAAAAGACAATAAAATACTTATAAGACAGCAAAATTAAATAAAAGCTATTGAAATATTGTTTGTTTGAATTAAAGTTAAGAAGATGGGTCCAAAGCAAAAAACAAATACATTTTCAGTTTGTGTCTCTTGAGGATCACTTCAGACTTCATGTGCAACTGAAATGATAACGTTGGTATTTTATCATCCGTGACATAAAATGATAAAGTTAAAACATGCTTTTAGAATTTTCAATGTTTAACAAAGACAGTCTTGACAATAAATCTTTAATTTACAACAGACGACAACTCAATCTTTTGTAGGCGGTTAATTTCTACAGGCATAAGAAACTTGGACTGCTTAGCTGTGATATTTAAGGTAAGTTAGAAACTTGACATAAAACAGCTGCAGCTCTGTGAATGGATACTTTGGTTCTCATCCCTGGTAAAAGGTGGATTATCACTCATCGTTTTACAGCAGATTATTTCTGATTGGCATGATGCAGTTCATTAAACTCTCCTTTTACTATTTTCTGAAGTCAAAGTCAAAGTTTCTTTATTGGTCATTTTCACTACATGTGATACATGTGGTGGAACAACATTGTGTTCACAGGGTTCCAGTTACATCCAACCAAAGTATAAATTGTAAAGAAAAATAGTAACAAGATCTAAGGTATGAAGTAAGAAATACTGTACACTAAACTAAGAATGCACTAAGCGCTAGTAGTACAAAAACAATACGCCGAACAACAGCAGCACAAACATAAGTCTGTGTGAGCAGATGAGTATGAATGAACACAGCAGCATGAAATAAATCAGCAGAATTAGATCAGAAGCATGGATAATCAGCAGCACATCAAAAATCAAGTGGCATTACAGTGATTTTTTTTTTTTTTTTTCACTGTGATAATCCTGATTAGGGAATTCATGAGTCTAACAGCCTCAGGGTAGAAGCTGTTCGTCAGTTCTACACTTAATGCTCCTCAACCTCCTGTCTGAGGGGAGCGGGGCAAAAAAGTACATGTGCTGGGTGAGTGGGGTCATTCATGATGCAGGTGGCCCTCTTCCTGCATCTGGAGGTGTAGATGTCTGTGATGGTGGGGAGTCTGACTCCAACAGACTTCTGTGCAGCCTTCACCACTCTCTGCAAAGCTTTTATTTCTGCAGCTGTGCAGTCTCCATGCCACATGTTGATGCTGGAGCACAGGATGCTCTCCACTGCACACCTGTAGAAGGAGGTGAGGACTGAGCTTCCCAGACCAGCTCGCCTCAGCTGCCTGAGGAAGTAGAGTCTCTGATGAGCTTTCTTGATCAGGCTGGTGGTTTTGTTGCCCCAGCTGAGGCTGTCATTCAGGTGCACACCCAAGTACTTGTAGCTGGAGACCACTTCCACTGCAGATCCTCTTATGTTCAGGGGGGAGTAGCTGTGTTTGTTCCATCTGAAGTCCATGACCATCTCCTTAGTCTTCTTCACATTGATGTGAAAGTTGTTATTCCTGCACTAGCTCTTCAGGTTTTCCACCACCTGCATGTAGCTGGACTCATTGTTGTTTGTGATGCATCCCACCACCGCTGAATCATCTGCAAACTTTACAATATGACAGCCTGGATGGGTAGGTCCACAATCATGCATGAGCAGGGTGAACAGGAGAGGGCTCAGCACACAGCCCTGAGGGGAGCCAGTGCTGAGGGTTATGGTGGAGGAAGAGAAGTTGTGGATCCTCACAGACTGTGGTCTGTTTGTTAAGAAGTCTAGGACCCAGTTGCAAATGGAGGGGCTAAGTCCTAGTGTAAGTAGTTTGTCCACCGGTGTCTGGGGGATTATGGTATTGAATGCAGACGTGAAGTTCACAAACAGCATACGCACACAGGAGTCCTTCTTCTCCAGGTGGGTGAGAGCAGTGTGGACCACAGAGGAGATGGCCTCTTCTGTTGATTGATTCTCGTGGTATGCGTACTGGTGAAGGTCCTCACTGATGATGATGGTTGTTTTGATGTGGGTCATGACCAGTCTGTTGAAGCATTTAGCGACTATCGGGGTGAGGGCTACTGGCCGATAGTCATTCAGACCAGTCACTGTAGAGCTCTTTGGGACTGGGATGACGATGGCCATCTTCAGGCAGGTGGGAACTGTTGCCAGGGTAAGTGAGGAGTTAAAGATGTTGGCCAGCACCTCACAGAGCTGATCAGCAAAGTCTTTCAGCATCTTCCCGGGGATGGTGTCTGGGCCAGATGCTTTGTGAGGCTTAATCCTCTTGAAAGTACTCCTCACTTCAGCTGAGGTCAGGCTGAGAAACTCTTCTTCCGGTGAACAACCTCTTCCCTGCTATTAAAACTTAATTGTCATACAATAACTACCATGTTGTACTGTATCAACTATCAATTCTTGCACAGTTTTTAGTTTATTGACTCAGTGTTACATTCCTTGGATGCCACTACAAATTGGACCTTCTGAACTTTTTGGTACCTTGTAGTCTAGCCTTCCCATTCTATTTGCTATTTTCTGCTTCATCCTTGCCATATTTTTGTTCTGCCTTTGGAATTGTGTTAGCTTTGTAATATTGACTGGATGTCATTAATGTTTGAACTTCTTTTTTTAAAGCATGAACCTTGCAATTTTCCTCATGTGTTTGCTCTCCCTGCCAGAATTTGCTCGTTTCATTTGCTCATGTTCGGAGTCTGCATAAAAGAGTCTTTTTTGAGCTGCCCAATAGCAGTTTTTAAGTTTGACTGGGCAGGCAGTGCCAGTAAAAATGTATTGGTAGTTGCTGTCAGTGTGTAATTATTGAAACCGCAGCACTCCTTGAAATGTTCCATATTTTAGGAGGTTTTAATACCCCTGCCCTTTTAGTTTATTTCCATGTTTTATATGAAACATTTGAGTCATCTCTTTCATGGGCTGATTGTGGCTCTCATGTGCTTTGTTCTTTTTTTTTTAGATAGTACATACAGTATATGGCAGGATTCCCACAGACTGGAAATTAGGGAAAACTACATTTAGATTTTCCAGACAGGGAAACCTCAGATAATTTAAACACTGATCTGCTAATTCTAGAATTCTAGTTCTAGAATTGCGCCGCTCAAGGTGGCTGCATGTTGGAGCAGCTCTGTTACTTTCATTCTGAGATTTTGCTTTTGGAAACATTCATTTATCTTTTTCTGGATGTAAATCACATTTTTTGGATAATTGTTTCCTCTGGTATCGGATGCTGTGCAGCTGGAAGGATTTTTACTGAAACTTTTTTAGTTTTGGACATTTGTTATAATGAGTAATCATGGCAACAAGGCAGTTTTCTACAACCAACAGCAGCTGATTAACATATCAAAAGCTCAAATAATATCTCGGCTACAGCCCCAAATTTCAAATGAGTTGAAAGGATGTTTTGTGGACGCATTCTCATCTACCTACCAGCTGCGCTCGAGTGCATGACCACTGAGATCCTGGAACTAGCAGGAAAAACGACTCATGACAGCGAAAGGACAGGATCGTCCCTCGGCATCTACAGTGGGCTGTCCACAGCGACGAGGAGCTCAGCAGAATGCTGGGAGGAGTGGCCATCGCTCTGGGAGGAGTTCTGCCCTGAATTCGGGCGGTCCTACAACCCGGGGGAACCGAGAGGTCAGCCGAGTCTGGGTGGATAGATCAGACGGCATCTGCAACCAGTTTCTTAGGATCCATTGTGGGATGGATCTTTACAAGAGATCCTTCCTGTCTACAGCCATCAGTATCTATAACATCTCTTAATGAAATGAGGATAACGAGTTACAACAACATTTAATTTCCCTTTGGGATTAATAAAGTATGTTTGAATTGAATTGAATTAAAATATTGTCTGAGATTTGGAAGTGTACCTGTATTAATACTATATTCTAGTATGGAGTCCATGCTCTTCTTCTACAGTGCACATAGTGCATGCATCCTTACCAATTGGCTATGGTGACTTTAATTTCTGATGTTATACAA